GTCAAATACTAGATTATCTAAACTGATATTGTATTGTTGGTATGAGTCATTTTTAAAGATTAGTTAAAAACGATAGATGAAAATAATTTTTTTTCCAGATAATACATGTTTAATAATCAGACTAAATACAACAGATGTTTTACCGACACTTGAAAGTGTTAGTGGAAACTAGATGAATAATGTTCATAAATAAAAAATAAGAAAAAAAATACTTTTAAGTGACGATAATTACAGTTAGTAAGGAGGAAGTGCAACGGAACATAGATCAATGGATATTGATTCTTATTGTTTATCCAAATCTCAGAAAAAAGAATCGCTGTCTCACGAAGAAATGTCTTTGAATGTCTGATCATTTTTTGACCAAGACTATATTTTCAGACGATAGGCTATGATGAGTAGTATCATAAAGTTTCAAGTCGAAACTCGAAATTCGATTTTCAAGATCACCTAAAAGGGACCATGGTTTTCTATTAAAAAATTCGATACCTCAAAAACAAAAGCTCAGACAATCAAACTCACTTAGATATTGATACTACTCACCATGGCCTACCGTCTGAATGCAATCTTGATCAAACAAAGCAATCGAACACTCATGGATGTTCTTTCGTCAAATATTTGCAATAATCACGTTTTATTTAAACTATTACAATAATCGAAAATCAGATAGATAAAATGTCTATCTGTATATCCGTAAAATCTATATTTCTTCACAGAAAATATTACATCATTTAACATATAATTTTTACTTTGAGGAAAATTTTTTAAATTCGTCTTATATAATACTATAGACAGCAAACAAAATCTTAGCTTAAATTAGGATCTTACGGGACACTTCCAAACTCCGTTTGTCTCACAGGACTGACTCTAGTTTCAATATTATATTATTTTCAGAATCGAGAACTTAAAAGTGATGATCTTTTACTACGTCAACGTGCAGTACGATCATTATGTGATTATCTCCATGATCCGGAACATATATTACCATGTCTTGGTGAAGGTTATATCTTGAAAAAAATTTTTGTTTTCAACTGAAATAATTCATTATTTTTTTTATTATTATTATTTCAAGATATTCCAGCTACATTACTTGAATTACTCAAAGATAACGATCAATTTTGTCGTTTAAAAGCTGCTGAATGTTATTATGTCATTGCAGGTAAATAATATTCGAAATAAATATTCTTCGTTTTTGTTCTTTACTCTAAATATCAAATAACAGGTCATGCTATTGGTCGTCAAGCAATGCTTGCTTGTAATGTAATTCCACGTTTAGCTGAATTATTTAATGATAAAGAACCATCAGTTAGACGAAATGCTCATAAAGCTGTATCTATGTATAGTGAAGCACCACCTGGTATATAACTTTCTATCATAAAACTATTAATAAGCTTTCTGTTTTTCTTTTTTTCTTTCTTTTGTTAGGTGCACAAAATCTTATTGAACTTCGTCTTGTTGATACACTTCTTAAGAAGTTGGTTAGTGAACTTGATGAAATAAAAGTATGTTAATTTATCAAAAACAAAAAAAAATAATTTTATTTTGATATGTTTTTTTTTCTAAATAGGAATTAATATTAAATACAATTCATTTTTGTTTAATGATTGATGTTGAACAAGCACTTGCAGCTGATGCTATGTCAACATTAACATCATTACTTGAACATCCATCTGATAAAATAAAAACACTTACAGCATTAACAATATTTCATTTAAGGTTAAAATTAATTAAGAAAAATTTAATTTAATTTAATTTAATTTTTATTAATTTTAGTATTTCACTTAAAGGTAAAGAACGTGCTGTTGAAATTGGTACAGTTGATCAATTAGTTAATTTACTTGATTCAAATAATGATGCATTAAAAAGTAAAACAGCACTTGCTCTTTCAATGTATGTCAAATTTTAGGTGTTGGTTTTCTTTTATTATTTTTCATATTTGTTTCTTTTTTTTTTGTTTTAGTATTTGTATTATTACACCAGGAAAATATTGTACAATCAGAGCTGGTGCGATACCAAAACTTTTAGCTATGCTTAAAAATGAATCAAGTGAATTAGTTGTGAATGCTCTTAAAGTAAAATTATGATTTGTATTGATATGATTAATGAGGATATCTTTTTTTTTTTATTTAGGTTATTGCATGTATAGCTGAAGCACCGGAAGGAAGACAACAATTACTTCAATCTGTTGATCAAGTAAATGAACTGATTTTGATATAGTAATTATTTTTTTTTTCGCTTTTTTAGATTGAACAATACAGTAATCATCGATTACCTAATTTAGCAAAACATGCACAAATTGCGACGAAAGTTATCAAATGGAAGCCTTAAAAAAATGAAACAATACTTTTTTTAAAATTTTATTCATTTGATTATTTTTTTTTCTTCTTCGTAATATATAATAACTAATATCGTAAAGTTCTATGATTACATAGATTTTGTTATTCAATGCTATGATAGAAATCGTTCTAGTTTTTGAAAACAGAATAAATTCAAATTGATAAAAATAAAAATCTATCACTTAGTAAATTCTATTCTAAAATCATGTTCACAAATAGTCGATGCATGCCAGAAAATTCGTATTCACAAATGAAAACTTTATCAAATACCAAAGTTTTTCGGTTTAAATGTGTGCTTTGTCATTCATTGTACCATTAAAATTTTAAGTGTAGTCAGCGAGAATTTATTAGAGAATTGTCATATTCCTTTTCTTGTATGTTAAAAAAATTTTTTTTGATGCAACAATTTTTTAGATTATGCAGATTTCTATAAAGATTTTTCATCTGTACAATTATGCAATTCTAAATTTCCTATTTCAATTAAAATATATTACAAGAAAATTGAATTCGATTCTTCACTAAGATAAGAGTATAGAGAATATGTATAGCTAATCATGTTCTTCATTATTCACTTATCTCTCTATGAATAATAAAACATATATAACAATCCGAAACAAGTCTATTTAAATCAAGAAAAAAATATCATAATTAACTTCTTTTTATAGACGACACACATAATATTTACTAAATCAATGAACCAAAAAACAATTATTAATACTAATCGTCAAAATTATCATATAGGGAATCTATCAAACACATAATCTTAAAAACTTTTCAAAACACTTGAGACTAAAATACTCAATCAGCTATCGTCATTGAATTTCTTCACACCTGCTAATAGTTTTCTCATCTACATTAATGATTGATTCCAAAGCAAAAAAAAAACTCTACACTTTCGATTTGTGATTATCACAAGACAACGCCTTAAAGGCACCCTGACAAATCAATCGAATACGAAAAAAAAATTTCGTTTGGTCTCATTGTATATGTCTATTTACAGGCAACTTCATCCGGCGGGTGTATGTATTTGTTTGATGCAGTGCTTCTTTTTTTTTTTTTTTTTTACTATTTCTAACAAGTAATGATCCGTTCCCATCTTATACACTTTCTACGGTATCATATTAAATAAAATAAAACAAAAATCACAAAAATGACTTACGAGACACGTTCTTTGATTGAAAATATATTTTAAGATGGCACGTGAACTTTCTTTGATCTCTTATTTCTACAGAGAGTCGACGAAGAATAAAAAATAAAATAAAAGAAAAGAAAGAAAGGTAATCAGTCATCAATTCTAATCGCTGCTCTTGACCACTAACAAACAAAAATTCTCAATTTGTTCACATCTTATCACAAAAGCGTCATTTAGTGCAATGTCTATATACTTGACTATACATTTATCGTTCAATATTTTAGTGGCAAAAAACAATTAGAAATATAAATACGGATTTCACAGTTGATATCATTCATGTAATAAAATGTTTCTCTGTGCTATTCTATTTTATTTGTTATCCTCGAGTTTAATCAAGCGTCAATGATGTAAAAGAAAAAAAAAGACGAAATGCTTTTACAAGAGTAGATCGTTATCTTTATGAGTAATGACAGCAAAATGAGAATACACTATTTATGTGTCAATGACACAACAAATACAGAAACGAAAAAAAATCGATATATGTGTGTGTGTGTGTGTGTGTGTGTGTGTGCGTATGTGTGTGTGCATACAGATTCAAGTTAGGTTTTTTTGCTAACGGAATAAGGATCAAGGAGACAAAATCAGTATTTGCTCACACTTTTTGAGGATGCTGTGCATACAGTAATTGATTGCCTTTTTCTCTTTTCTTACTTTCACCTGTATGTAACATTGTCGACCATTCATTATTTCTTTCGTCTTTTTTTTTTCTTTCTCTTTTCTTTGGGCGTTTTTTATTCGTCCTATTAGTCTTGTCATCGTAAACTTTTTTTCTTATTGGCTATCAACGATATATTTCGATAACGCAAAACGAATTCATACACTACACCTTTTTGCGATAGAGAACGAGAGAGAAAAAGAGAAAAAGCGCGACAAACAACCGAGGTGAAGCGTGAAGCTCTTGCACACTTGACAAAGCGAATATATCGACAGGTTTATACGTACACATGCGTATGGGTTTTCGACCTCTTGTTAATTTAACAGCACCACTTGGTGCTAATATTAATTCAATATTTTCAACAACAACAACACGGTCATTTATTAATCCATTTCTTAATCAATCATCATATGCAATTGATAATAATCATTCTCAACAACAACAACATAAAGACGATAATAATGATGATGATGATTCTGATCTTAAAGTTGAATTAGAAAATAAACAATTATGGGATGCTTTCCATGGGCATGGGACTGAAATGGTAAAGTCATAAAATTTCAAAAAAAAAAACAAAAAAGAATTCTTCTTTTTATTTCTTTTTTTATTTCAGGTTATTACAAAAAGTGGCCGGTAAGGAGATTAAAAAGAAAATAATTTATTTAAAAATTCTTTTCGTTTTCTTAGACGAATATTTCCAGCTTTTAAAGTTAAAGTAACTGGTTTGAATCCTCAAGCAAAATATGTATTTTTAATGGATATTCAAGCAGCTGATTCTCATAGATATAAATTTCATAATTCTAAATGGATGATTGCTGGTAATGCAGATCCTGAAATGTCAAAACGTCTTTATGTTCATCCAGATTCACCAGCAACAGGTTAATTAAATACTCGGTTGTTTTTTTGTTTTATAAATTTTCTATTCTTAAAATTTTAAGGTGAACAATGGATGTCGAAATCTGTTTCATTTCATAAACTTAAATTAACAAATAATATCTCCGACAAAAATTCTTATGTAAGTAGATAATAAAAATGTTCATTAATCATCATGTTTTATTTTATTTTTTTTTCTTTTTCTTCTTCTCCATCCATTATCATTTACTCTAGAGTTATAAACAAGTTAATGTTTTGTTTCGATCAGTTTATTTGATATCGTCGCCGTATGCTTGTCTATCTTGACAATCGATCGTTACTATATTTCACCTTAAAGATTCTCTTTATGTATCTAATGAGCCATAGAAAACGAACAAGAAAAAAAAACGAAGAAAAAAATCTACTCTGCCAATGAGAAAAAAAGTCTACTTAACATCAATTTGAAAAATTGATTTGTTTGCTTGTCATAAAATGTGTTGATAAAGGAGATTTCTTTCTTTCTTTTTTCTTTTTACCAGCGAATAACACTCTATTAACAACACCCATTCAGGTGCAAGTTAAGTTTCCTATTTTATGACGACAGTGGCAGACAATAAAGAATAAGAGAAATGATTAAGTCTTTTTTTTTTTCTTCGTTAGACAATACTCAATTCAATGCATAAATATCAACCAAGATTACACATTGTTAAAACGAATGATTTAATTAAAATTCCATGGTCACCAATAAAAACATTTATATTTAAAGAAACACAATTTATTGCTGTTACAGCTTATCAGAATGAAAAAGTAATCGAAATTTTCTCGTTTTCTTTTTCTCCCATTTATTTTATTAATGTTATAATATGCTTGATAGATTACCCAATTGAAAATAGACAATAACCCGTTTGCTAAAGGTTTTCGAGACAATGGAGCGGCAAGCAAGCGTGATAAAAGGTATATATGCATATTTCGTATTTTTTCTTTTTTTCTTTTCATTGAATAATGTACGTACGAAACGATAGTTGGTTAAGATTGATCAACTTCGATTAGTATCCGTGTAAAAGCGATACATCACAGGTGTACTTATGTAATCGTGTATATATGTATGTAAATAGATACAGTTGAATATAAAGAAGAAAAAAGCCGAATACCGGTAGTCTCTCTCTCTCTGTTCATTTGTATTATCTTTTGAAATAAAAAAAGAAAAAAAGAGAAAACGAAAAATTCAAGTGGAGTTCATCATTCTTCTTTTGATGATCTATCACTTTTTCTTTTCTCGAGGCACTCTCATCTCACTTACATTACTCTATCATATATACACATACATATATCTGGATAAATAAAGTAGCTTCCTTCATTTGTCGTTTATCATCATTTGATATAAAAAGACTAAAATGTATATATATATATATGTATTTTGTTGTGATTTGAACGTGTGCGTGCGAATGTCTGATGTGTCACGTTCAATTTGCGATCTCACTCTCTTTCACATTCTGATTGATCTGTCGTCCATTTTACTGTATATATATATAAATACATTTATCTAGTGACAAAAACCTGACTGTGATCACTTATTTTCAATGTGTGATAATGGATGCAAATGGATAGAAAGAAATAAGAGACATATACAACCTTCTTTCTTTTTCTTGTTTTGTATCATAAGACCAGATGGCTTTAATGAACATAAAAGAGATTTTTATTTGAATAGACATATTATTTCGTGAAACTTATTTGATTCTGTTAAATAAGATTTTTGTATTGGTTTTCTTTTTAAATATTAACCGTTATCTTCTTTCGGCCAAGAGTACATATTAACATGAGACGAATGAGCATTTTTTGTTGTCATTTATCTTAATGTTTTATCTTAAAGCTTTTCTTTTTTTTTTTTTTTTACTATAATTATACTTGAATCTTGTCAAGCAATAGAGTTATTAAATTTAGACGTCTCAATTTTGATCTATCGTCTAGTACAACAGCGGCATCAAGAATTTTATTTGAGAAACCACAAATTCCTCTAATACCAACATATCATGCAATTGAAAATTCATCTGAAAAAAATGATGATTATATTGATATTGAATCACATAATCATTATGAGAATGATTCTATTAATATAAAACGTACACCAAGTTTATCATCAACAACATCAATTAGTACATGTTCACCAACAACAAATCATCATCGTTCAATACCTATTATATCACCAATATATTCTCATGATCATCAATCAATCAAACGATCTCGTTCACCATCAACAACAGATGAAGAAACAAATAAACGAGTTTGTTTAACA